GAGGGTAAAACAGTAGAAGTGGTAATAATTTTCCCCAATGGCTACCTGTTCTCCGGTGAAGCCATTATAAATATTCTGCCTTGATTCCCTGTTCTCACTAGAGATGATGAGTGCTTTCAAAACCTTTACAATATCTTTACCAGTAAGGACGATACTCCTACGCCTGGTGTAGTCGTCTATTCTTCCTGCAATTAGAAAACACAATATCTTATATCATATATACATGAACTTCATTTACTTTAGAAAGGGAATAAGGTACGAAGCACATAATAACTAACCTATCTCCCTGCTACACAATTCCAAATTGTCCTTAAAATTTCTTAGAATTGAGTCAAGCTTGTTCTCAAAGGTTTTTGGTAATTCATGTCGCTGAACCCTGAATCATAAATCATTAAATTTGACATAAATTAATCTACGAAACATCGATATACATCTAACATAATACAGACACTGGCACACAGTTAATCTCCAAAAAGTAACACACGAAAACACGATATTTATATGTAAGGTTTACAACTTTTATATGATATTGAATCTTAGAAAATACATCGGATAATTCTTATGAAAACAAGTCTCATCATGTATTAAAAAAAAATGTTATAAATCTTACAATATTTATAAATAATTTTTTTTTATTTTATAATAAAAACATTGGATAAGTATTTAACTAAGAATGAAAGTCGACTATTTTTTTTAGTTAATTTGTACTCAAGATTATCAGAAAAAGTCTTAAAACTGATAGAGAAGTGTCTGAAGGAGTAAAAAAAATAAAATTAATAATGACATGATATAAATACGTTAAACGCAAAAGGTGTTAAAACTGTGATAGAGAAGTGTCTCAACTGAAAAAACAATAACATTTTAATAATAACATGATCATATAAATACATTAAACGCATGTTATTACGTATCTGACACATGTAAATAAGTGTGTAATAGATAGTATTGATGGAAGAGTTTGATGAGAGGGAAGACTCACTTATACTCAGTGAACTCATCAATCTGACCAGTGCAAGTGACAAAGGTGAAGATGGCCCAGTAGACAACAACAGGGATCTGATGCAGAGTCTCAGCAAGAGCAGGAACATCCTTAATGTCATGCCTGGAACTGATGAGCCTCTTCCACTCGGTGATGCACTCGATCACCTGCATCACCTTCTTCACCACGCTGCTGAAGTAGCTCAGATGCTGCTGCGTGTTCTGCTGCACCACCACCACTCCGTTCAGATCCGCCAGCGATCTCTCCACCACGTTCCACTCCGTCGCCGTCACCGCCGGACAAAGGTACACGAACTTCCCGTACTCCACCGCAAACGCCGCTTGCACTATCAGCGCCTTTGCGTCCCACGAATAGTGCCGCAGCTGCTCCAGGATTAGCATTGTTGTGCGACGCGCGTGCTGTTCTCCCCGCGGTGTGCATAACATCTGCATGCGAAAACCCAAATTAATACGTTGCGTTCGTTACTTTTCTTTAATATTTTGATTCAGTTTCTTCGGAGTTAGCGATGTTCACCAGGTAAGCAATTCGCTTCAGTTTCGCAGTGAGTTGTTGGGAAGCTATGCTCGTCTCTTCCCTCAACCGTTGTTCACCGTGTTGGCCACCCATCTGTTCATGAAATCACGTGATAATATACTATATATATGGTACGTAGTGCCCTCAAAAGGTAAATGCAATTATTAAAAAAAAAATTGAATATATTTTTAGTTCATTAAATTTAACAAATTTATTTTTAATATCTTAAATTTAAAGTTATTATTTTCAGTCATGTAATTTTTTAAAATCGTATTTTAGTTTCTTAAAACATTAATAACACCTAAAAATGATAAATTGAGATAATTAGATAATATTAATTAAATTTAATTTAATATTTTTACTAATATGAATATTAATAAGTAAATTTTTTTTAGGGGAATATAATAAGTAAATTTTTAATAACAAAATTTAACAGATTTTTTTAATAAATTTGAATATAAAGATTAAAATATATTTTTTTAATTATAGAAACTAAAAGTATTAATTTTATATTTGAATAACTAAAAATATTTTTTTTTATATTTGAAAGATTAAAAACATATTTATATATATATATATATATATATAATTTTTTTGAAGTAAAATTATTTGTTATATTGTTTCCTTTTACGTTCTATACCAAGTGTATCTTTTATAAAATAAAATAAAAATATAAAAAAATCTTATTCAAAATAGAAATAACTACTATGACATGATCATGAAGTAATTAGTTATAAAGAGGGTATAACAAAATTACCTTACTAATCACTTTATCCGTAATCTCAATGGAGCACTTGATAACCGTTGAGGCAACGGTGTGAAGAGATGTTACATCGCACTTCTCAAGGCAATGAAAATGGGTTCTGTAAACATCATCCAAGATATCTTCGTCCCTCATATCTAATAGGTTTTGCACCCCTTGCTGCACATTGGTGCTTGAAAGTGAGTTGGACATGTTGGTGACTCAGCCTATAGCCTACAATACCCTACAAGTCAATTTCAAAGTAAACGATGCCTCTTTCATTTGTATTGCCTCATTTATAGTTGGCAAAAAAGGATAGGGCATGGCTTTACGACGCTTAGGTGAGGCCCATGTAGCACCATATATGATTCTTTTGAGCATAGAAGGAACTAAAAAGCATATGGATTATAATTAATTATTGAAACAAGAAAGCATAAGCATCTGAATAATGTAACTTTTCCTGTATGATCCCTATGTTTGGAAAGTTAAAAATAAAGAGTTAAATCGCTGTCATGTGAATTTCACAGTACCCCTTCATGCCTTTTTGATCATGACTCTAGTATTGAATGACGAACAACGTTTACCACGTACAATTCCCTAGACTTTCGCTTTCCAAGACAAGAATGAGGATATGTATGAAAACATGTTGCACTTTTAGGATTCGATCAAACCTACAAGAAAAGAATCGTGGTAACAGTTTAACAATTGTGGATACTTGTAAATTGTAATGATAACAGTTTAACAATTGTGGATACTCGTAAATTGTAATGATAAGAAACATGCCGATGAGGAGAAATACTACAAGAGCATATTTGAATAAAAAAACATTTTACTGAAAATATTCTTTATTTTTGATAAAAAAAATTCTTAAAATCTCTTTTATATTGTACTTAAATAGACTCTAAATATATTTTTGAAAACACACCTTTAAACATATTATCTATATGATTGATGGAAATTTATTCAAAATCATAAAATTAATTTGATAGGTTTCATGTTTTATTTAACGAGTTTTGCACTTAATTTTATAGTTTCATTGAATCTTAATCACAAAAAGGAAGTGTTAAGAGTAATATGTTAGAAAGTGTCACTACAACTCCTTGATAAATGATTATAATATATATATATATATATATATGAGAGGTTCACATATTATAAAAGTAAGTCTTTATAGTTTTATTTTATTTAATTTTATATTAAATTTTGATTATCTAACAGTTCAATTAAAAATTTTAATGCATAGATCAAATTTATAAATTTTTAAAATAAAAATTATTTGATATTTTATTTCATTATTTCAAATTGA